TTAAAACCTTTTTGTTTTATTTTAGGCCTTCTTCAAAATACCTATGCCACAGCAGTTGATTTTTTTGCCGTAAAACCAAAATAGTTTCATGCATGCCGACCGGTTAGCGTGAGCGCTGACTGAACTCTACAGAAAATCCACATCAAACTTCGCATCGCGATGTAAAACAAAATGTCGGAAAACTTTTCTTTGACGCATGCGCATTTGCATAAATGTCTACACACATACGCACACACACACTACACACAATAAAAAACAAAAGAAATGTGACAGAGTGATTACAATAGTTCCTATTGCATTACATGCATAGGAACTAAAAAGGTTTAAATATATATTAATGATGATCATAACAATGATGATGATGTTATGATGATGGTACCATTAATGATGAAAAGATGATGGTGGAGAAGATGATAATGATGACGATGATGACATATACTGGCCAAAAGCTGACAGTGGAAAGATGATGGTGAAGAGGAGGATGATAACACTGATGATGATATTACATAATGATGTTGAAAATGATGATGAAGAATATGAACAAGAAGAAGATAACGATGTTAACAGTGTTGATGGAGATGATAGTAAACACAATGAGGATGATGAAAATGATGATGATAAACTAAATGATGGCCAAAGTGATCATAAAGATGCAGACAACAATGATGATGATGATCACGGTAATGATTATGAGGATGATGATGATCACGGTAATGATTATGAGGATGATGATGATCACGGTAATGATTATGAGGATGAACATGACCATGCTAATGATTATCATGATGACTGTAAAATAACCTCCATAAAAAAAATCAATTTATCAAAGCTTCACTTACTTATTGTAGGCCTCTTCATCTTTTTTGGATGGTTGATATTTCTTAACTAGTTGTCTGTGAAGATATAGCGACAATTTAAAATTTAGGCAAATGAGAGTTAAGACATGCTATCTACATATGAAAACAGACCAGCGTGTCTATATTAATGAATTATTGCATTGCGTAAAAATAAGTCAGATATGTTTATGTGTAAATACATGTGTTACATATCAAGTTATGCAAAGTCATAATAACATATACTTGTATTGTATATTCTTTTAATGTTATCAAATCTTTGTAGTACTTTATTTTTTTTAGATGTTTTTACTGATTAGTGTTAACAACAATTAAGTTGATTAAAATAATTCTATAATGTATTGTGGTTGAGATTATATTTTTAATGAACATCAAAATCAGATTTTTTTTTACTATTAAAGTATATAATAAATAGTAGTAACAAAATATACATTTCAGTTGTAACAATAAATCAAATATTATTGAGTAATGGATATTAGGTCCGACAGTATTTTTTATTGGTTGATTAATATTCAGATTAGAAGAAAACTTTATTAAGTATAGTAACATGTTAAAAAATTATTATACCTAAAAATTACAATAAATGTACTATATGCAAAATTTTATGGATGATCCTTAAATTATAAAAAGTTGTATAATTATAGATAAAAATAATTATATTATTATTATTGACAATAAATGATACTGTATACTTACTTAATGCGTACTGCATATTCATTTTCTATGGATTGCCTTTCTCGTGCAAAACTACAAAACTTTTGAAGAAATTCAATCCCTTTATCTGTATGTTTCTTTATAGGTTCAAATTGATCCTGAAATAGAAGCAAATTGAATGTTAAGTTTAACCCATTGAACCCTGCATTATTTACATCTTGCAGCACCCTCACCCTGAGTTATTTGGACAAAATATGTTCCTTTTTTTATTACAATCATCACAAACAACTTCTAGGCCCTGTACCCAGGGATGTCACCAGCTTTTTGGAGTGCCGGTCGGCGATCATTCCGCAA